AAATGCCGAAACGATGAACAAATTTCCTTACGTCATTAAGAACGTGTGTCAAGAATATTTCCACTATCTCGGCCTTAAATATGTACCTGTTATGCTCCTCACGATTCTGTAAGAAATAGGCCGTTTTTATGAAATATATTTTGTATTCGGAACAAAGGGTTTTTCACCACTGACAACTGATAAGTATCATCTATAGACCTTCTTCAACGATAGGCCTTGCGTCTGAATAGGAGACGTGGCAGTGGTCTTATGTGACTGAAGACATCCCAATATAGTCCTTATACGTTGGTACCCTGTGGTTATGACAACAATGCGCACACCTCTTGAAATATTTCGATTAACGTCACAGTTAGAAATATGATCACAAGTGTCGAATGCTACTTTTAAACCATGAAGAACGCCCACTAGAGTTCTTGTCACCTGTGAAGCATGAAAGTTTGAAGAATCCACGTGAAACCAAGCTGAAGCAATGCCCATCGACCAAGGCCTCTTGCCCACTTTCCACAGCCTCCATGTTGCATAGCAGCCGGATTTTCTCCTGAAACATAATGTACAATACTGTAGTGTGTATTAACTGCATGCATAATAGTTGGTGGTAACAGCAATTGTCTGGATGCCAAATCAGACACGGCGCTACAGCTGAGACAGAGAGTGTGATATAACACTAAGGAGCCCGAATTTATAACTTGTGTTAGGCAAGTCCGTTGTCTAGGCAACACGGAGTTTTCCTCCGGGGGCTTCCTCGGTTTCTCCGTGGCATCCCAACAATTACTCCATTCACACACAGAAGAAGGCAATGGCAAACCACTTCTGGATCATCTGCCAAGAACGTATATGAACAGGTCCCAGTCCGAGAAAAGGATGGAAGGATCCTGTTCATATGGACCTGTCGTCAGACAGAACACTAAATAAATATAAATAAATACGTTCAAACTCTGGAAATGAAAAATGTCCAAATGAAAAACTGAAATATGTACAACATAACCTACAAATTCTAACTGCTATAAAGAGATGGGAATGGAGGTATGTGTCACAGGCAAAGTACAAATCTATGGACTCAAATAAATACTGAGACACTGCACATAAAATCTGCCCGTTCTGGGCAAATTATAAAATACAATTATTTTTATTTTTTTTCCACACTTTACTTAAGAACATCATAAAATATCTAGCCATTGTATAGAATGCCAAGACAGATCTCGATATTTCTTAAATATTAATTGTTTAACTTTCAGAAATATGCATATTATAATCCATAATTTTACTACGATAATGTTAATACGATATCCCGCGTATAGGTAGACAGATCAGAAACATAAAGTGAGACGAAAAATTATACAACGGTTCTGACAATCCACTGCTGATTACCTTGTACATCTGACTGTATTAATTATTTAATTGACTAATTTAGATGCCTATGTATCAAAGGGACAAACATAGCGGTATTGCGTACAAGTACAAGCGTCATGCCTTAGACTAGAAAACAGATAATAAGGTCACGTACTTTTAACTACGATAACTAAAGACCTAAGTCGATGAATGAAGTCACAAACAACAATTTTATACATTGTTCTTAATTTTTTTAAACAGCTCTCCAATCTACTTTATCCTGAGGAAACTGAAATCAGTCCAAATCCTCACACGATATTACATTAACACAAAATTTAATATTATTTCCTATTATTTTCGTTGGCTTTCTATTCACTGTTTAAAATTTAAAAGCATATTTTCTGCAGCCAGTTTCTTCTTTATTTGAATACCGTAATATTGTTTGGGAAAGAGTATAACGTTCCTTGTTAGGTAAATTTCTTCCCTTCTGTTTATTTCTGTCTGTCTCTTACGTCCACGTATTACCTGTATGTATGTTCTGTCCATGAACAACTGTGCAAACCATATGGAATATTTATAAGTCTATATAAATATATAACGAACGAAACCAATTCAAATTTACCAGTTCTAAACAGTTCAACGACGTTTGTTACGTGTATCCTATTTTAAATTCTGATTTTATTTTATAAGGACAGTATCTCTATTATTAATAAAAGTGATATATACGTCTAGTGGCGCTACTTATTTATTCCCAGAGTTACTGATAATTGTTCTTCATAACATACCTAATATTTCTGCGTTATCGCCTACAGACAATATTTTCATCTTAGTCTGTATCGTATAAACCGAGCCATTCCGTGATTTTTAGCATTCCGTCAAGGTTAACATCGTGATAATATCTCCAATTTGGAAACAAAGGCTTACTTTTACATTTGTTCAAATTCATCAAACACAATTCAACCAAACAAATCTACATAAAATAATCAGTTGAAGAAGCGTAGGCAAATAATCAAATAATGAACACGCTTGAAGCCATCACCAAATTGCATGCTTCAAGGTCACAGCAAAATCATACAACGTTGGAGCCCGAAAGGCAGGGCCGGACGAGTGAAGACCTCTCAGAACTCGCACCATAGCAAACCTAGCAACGCTAAACTGTCCGTTTAGTCCTTCCTGGGCCATGGAGCATGTAGTTTGGTTACGAGGCTACAAAAACAACCATCCGTTTTCCTGGTTAAACATAGGTTATTGAAGTACTGCAGTCTCTCTCGTGAACACCTGAAGATATTTACCAAGAGCTACAGTCCGTATAAAGCAGAACGGCACGTGGAAGCATGCTGGACAGGTGGAGTACTTCGGCTTCTGCGGATTGCATTACATATGAAGGTGCGAGTATCTGCGAAGGGCTTATATGTTAAGATAATTGACGCCATGCTCAAATTTGAAATATTTGTAAATTGCGAACCGTGCAAGTTTCTCATTAACTGTTATACAAAATAACTTGAAAATTACTACAGGTTTCACGAATAAAAAAATGGTATCCTATGATTAAACGTGTAATACAGATTCAGTACATGATTTAACGACTGTATACACTAAAGTAAATTTTCCAGAACATTTTCTCCGCAAACACTCCGTAATAGAAGCTCGATAGATTTATTTCAATATCCTTATTTTGTTATAACAACATGTTTCATACAATAATTAGAACCTTAAAGTGGCGGAATTCCTATGCACTGGCTTTATATTAATAAACAGGTAGCGGGTGAATCAGAAACATTAAAGTTCGCAGAATAACATTCGCTCGCAAAAATAATGTGATCCACTTTTCCTGATTAGTTTTATTTTAGCACTAGGCTCTACTTAATACTGGGAAACATAAAAGCCGTACAAATGTAGAGAAAATGACCAAGTAATTCAACAACTGCCCACTACGATTGTAATCCAAAATAAATACAACTATTCTAAAGGACATTTTAATGCCAAATATCCACATTTCATATGGCATATCTTAAAGATAATCTACATATTCAAAATAAAAGTTTAATGACAATAAAAATCTCTGATGACTGCAGATAATAACATTCGACTTGAAAACTGACCCTAAGTTTAACGGTGAACACATAATTTCGAGACATGCAGTTCACGTATTCCCATTAGATGATAATGTAACTTATGTGCATGAGAGGTACTCAAGTTTTTATGCCCTTAGCTCACACAGAACAACAAGCGTGTAGCTTCAATATAAAATTAGCAAAGAATCTGCTGAGCAGAAGACCTCAGAAGTCGTCGCCTGATTTAGCATAGTACCCACTGTTCTTCTCCTTATAGCACACTTTTATTATTCATCCTTGGATTTTTCTATGTAGCACTCAGTTAAACTCCACTACTTATTATCTGCGTACCAGGTTCCCAGGTTCAAATTTCATGTGAATGCTTCCCAGATTATGATTGACCTAAATTAGGTTTGATTATCTTTCCCTCATAAACTAGACAAATTAATAACAACCCTAAATGATTACCAACACCATGGGCCAGAATCCTTCTTGAGAATCTCACAGACACTGAGTTAGTCAAGATATTACCCGCCTCTTATGGAACCTAATGTTTAATAGGCCTACAGTGTTCGCAAGAGCACGCCAAATGTCCCGTGTCCTGCGACAGTGTACACATTTAAATCCTGTTGTCGTAAATATATTTTAATACTGTCATCTCGTCTATGTTTAAGTCTTAGGATTGTTGTCTTTCCTTCAGGCTAAACAAACACAGTTATTAAAATCATGTTCGATGTTACAAGTCTCGTCCAACTCATGCTCCTTAATTTCATTATTCTAATAATGTCTGTTGAAGAGGACAAATTACTGAGCCACTATTTACGCAGTTTTCGTCAGCCCGGTGTTATCCTTGGGTCCAGAGATTTTATTCAGCACTCTTTTCACTAACGTCCTCCACATACGCTATTCGGTTAAAGGTGAAAGACCAAGGTTCACACCCATACAAAACAACAGGTCAGATTAAAATGTATGCTTTTTAATTTTTCCCTTAAACTAAATCACTAATTGAATAAATATACAGCGTGTGTTGTAAGCTAGCTGTAGTGAAGTCCCTTATATCGTTTTTGTATTTTTGTTATTACAGAGTTTCTAGATCGCTCGAAAGATCGCACGAAATGTGAACTCCATGTAACCAGATCTCGAAATCTAACTCCTGCTTGACCGCAGTCACGTGATAGCACACAGCCTACAACTTCAAACCCTGAGACAACCGCAACGCGATTCTAGTCGGACAGAATTTTCCACACGTTCTGATTTCTCACGAATAATGAACCACGTGCAAACTGCAAAGGAAACACGTATCATCCAAATACTGACAGCGCTTTATGACCAATACCATTACTTTTCCCCACTCAACCTAATCTGGAAGAAGGGTTACCTAATTGCTTAAGATGGCTGTCTTCTGAACTGTTGCGCCGTGTAGTCTGGTAGAAGTTTACTGATCGCCCTGATGATGGAGGCAGCAAGCAACTCCAAAACATCAGTGAACTTCTACAGCAACAACTCGGAAGACAGCTATCTTCTTAATTTATATCATATCTAGCTAAGAAGCCATTAATTTCCGAATTTATTGATAAGTTCTTAAAACAAAAATCTTACCACGGAGAACTGCCAACGCCATATTTGGATGTTTTTTCTTACATGTTCCATGAAGTGGTGACAACATAACTACTTAAATATAAAGGGCAATTGATCAGATATTGCAAACAGCTAACGTGTCGTGGTTCCTTTACCAGACGATATATTTCTTGGCATAATAATTTTCTAGTGTGCTTTAGCTCAAACGTCACATTTAAAATCCTTTCTTATAGTGCTGTCCTTCCCTATCTCCCTCTCTCTCCGTCTGTGGTCCGGTTACTAACTTGTAACTGGTTTTATAGTGCAAAAACCTATGTATACCCGTAGCTGGCTCTTGGCTCGGCAACCGTTTGCTTCGTAAAGCTATCAATATGGGATGCAAAGGTAGTAAGTAGATTTACACAGGTCAAAGAGTATACATAAGTCTGACATATCAGAAAATCGGTAATGTTAAAATTTTAGTACCGTTTTAAGTTTACTACACACTGACGAAAAACGGACGCCATACCGGTCTTTTACTACCCACTACCAGGAATTTGGTTTATATAAATGTAGAGAATTTTAAAATGTAGAACAAGAAGTAGACATAAATACCTCGCTGTATTTTTTTAGCGTCTAGTCAAAACAGATCCGCCTACATCAGCTCTGGAAATAATTTTAAATAACACGGGAACGAAGATGCATCTAGACAATGGGGGAATGAGGGAGGTCCACAACGGTTAACCAGACAGCTGCAAGCTATATCACGTCATACAGCATCCCAGCAAACAAGATGACAGCTCTAACGAAGTCTGTGAACTGGAGTCACAGCGAGAGGCTAGACAATGGAAGGTACGTAACCCTAGAAAAACTGCCTGCAGCTCTAGAAGAATTCATTTATCATGCTGTAAGGAAAATAATAATTCGTGGCTTCCCGCTCGTTCAAGTAAACTTGTATTATACTTCACAGGCGTAAACGTACTTTGCAAAACAAATTTATTTTCGTCAGATAACAGTTAAAACCTTTGTCTAATAAAAATATGTCGTTTGCAGGGTTCGAAGTTACAACTATTCTACTAGGTCTAGTCATGAACGCGAAGCAGGTTTCAAAAGGAGAGGCCGAAACAACATATTTCGTGGTCTTAATCTGTTTAGGGTGCTTTAAAACACGGATTTAAACATGCGAAATATACAGCATATACGGTGGGATAATAATGGGCATATACAATTTCGATCTCTTCTAGACTGTTTTGCCGTTTCGTCGGTAGAAACTGACCGTCATTTCAGAGGAGCTTAGGTCTTTGTCTATAACTCAATGAGTGAACTATAGATCTGCGAAAACAACGCAGAATACACATCCCACAGAGATTTATTCAGTAAGATTTCGGATTCTCAATTATGAAGATGACTGTCCTACGCGATGCCATGATGATCGAGGCAGCCAATATCTCTAAGACATCTGTAAATTTCTATAAAACTACATTGCTATCAATCTAGAAAACAGTCATCTACATAATAGCTCCGTAAGAACGTGAAATCTCACCTCGTATCAGATCTTTTCATAAAACATTAATTATATCTGAACAACCATCTGTAATTCTGAATATCCAGACGTTTCAAAATAAAGTAGTCCCTGATGGATGAAGATCACACGTCGATTTTTCTTACATTCAAGCGAATAATCGCGCTTTTATGTTTTACACAAATGTTTTTCGCAGCACGAAATCCTTCAGAAACGACTAGGAGTAATTTTAACACAGTTGGTGTTTCTATTCACTGTTTTTGTTACCGATAGAAATCTGATTCCTATTCATTTCAGTGCAACATGCTTTGTCTCTACATGTATGGTTTACTTAAGTTCGCCAATCCTGTAAACAAATGCTTCTAGTATAGTCAGACGGCGAGGTGTAAAGAGGTTATTGTGACCGCCAAACAAGAGAGTATCCATACAGACAGACAATGCTAGAAACGGGGAGAACATAGGATTGTTGTGTTTTGGGTTCTACTGGGAATGAGTTTGTATGGACAGTGGGAAGCTTTCCTATGTCTGCAACAACAACTACTGCCACATTACCCCGAACGTTAATTACTCTCCCGTGTTAAGTTCAAACCCTCCCCCTCCACACCTCTGTCTCTAATGGCGAAATGGCAGGGACTCGTTGTCATCTGAGTACACGACGTCTTATAGTGTCTACTGTCCAAAACCCAATGTAACAACCATTACTCAACTTAATTATTACTAATAAATAAAATTACTTCGATACAAGATTATATGTAACACATTCTTTCAGTTAATTAATAAAACTGTCGGATTGTATGAGATACACTGTAACATCAACGTAGTAGTTTATTAAAAGTGAGAATGAAGTGGGAATAACTTGTAGGGCATAAAGGCTACACGTATTTTAAGATTGTTCAAACGAAGTCTGAATATGAAGAAATGATCCCCTGTTAACAGTCATGCATTTCCTTCTTTTCAGGCGTAGCAGCAACCCTGCGGAACTTCGTAAAATCGTTCCATCCGTCTATACGCACAAAACAACTCGAGAATAGCTTAATGGATTCTTATAAAATTTGGCAGTGGGAGATTCAATTTTGTTTAGATCCCACAGTACCTTAACGCCATTTGTAGGTAAAAGAATGTCTTCTATGCAATGTTATTAAATAACTGATATTTGTAACTGTGAATCATTGTGTTGTTTTCTTCCCTTTAATGTGGGAACCAATTATTAATTTAGGAATTCTAAGCTAGTATATTTGCGTCATATTGTGAATTAGGTTAATATTTAATATTTTCCGTCAAATCACAATTTTAATAAGATAATAAAATATAAAATATTTAAAATACCATTTCACGTTCCGCATCGAATGATCGATTTACAAATTGGAACGTCTCTTACGACATGTTTCGATTATATTTAACCGTCCTCAGGTATAAATTAGATTGGTAAATTTAAAACTCGAATTATAATCATTTACAATGTTATGCAATTTATTGAAATGTTCTTATCAGATTACTCTTATACATTAGAACGAAGGTATTGTTTTTTATATGGCGTGGTTCATCTGATGTTCAATATTAGTCTGTAAAGCAATGATTTAAAGAAAATATTAATAAATATGGAGTAATATAGAAAACAAAATGATGGAAGTAAATAAATAAATAGTAAAATGTATAAGTAAAATAAAGTAAATTAATTTAATAAAAACATACCGGTGATGATTCTACTATTTATTTATTTACTTCCATCATTTTGTTTTCTATATTACTCCATATTTATTAATATTTTCTTTAAATCATTGCTTTACAGACTAATATTGAACATCAGATGAACCACGCCATATAAAAAACAATACCTTCGTTCTAATATATAATAGTAATCTGATAAGAAAATTTCAATAAACTGCATAATATTGTAAATGATTGTAATTCGAGTTTTAAATTTTACCAATCTAATTTATACCTGAGGACGGTTAAATATAACCGAAACATGTCGTAAGAGACGTTCCAATTTGTAAATCGATCATTCGATGCGGAACGTGAAATGATATTTTAAATATTTTATATTTTATTATCTTATTAAAATTGTGATTTGACGGAAAATATTAAATATTAGGAATTCTAGTTGCCATGACATCAGATGAGCGTCTGTTCCGCTAGTTCATCACGAAATAACAGAACGAACGATGAGAAATTTTACCCTGTGCATACATTTCTTAGCTTATTATATTAGATTCAATTATGCACAACTGATATCTGATGTCGGCTGTTCTAAGAATTATGACTTTTTTTATACGACCCGTTCTTCAGTGCCTGAGCATCTGCGGGTCCAAAACTTTCGTTGGGTTTGAACTATCAGACAGTTGGTAGGACGCCTTGGACGTGGAATGGGCCCGTCGCAAGACCTCTACCTGTACACAGGACAACACAACACAGAAAGACGCGAAAGAACATCCATGCCTTGAGTGGGATTCGAACCCACGGTCCCAGTGACCACGCGGCCACTGTGAGGACTTATGACGACATTATTCAAGTTAATCAGATAAATGCCTAAAGCATCTTAGAGAATACAGGAGATTCTCGTTATACAGGCATTCGTTATCCGCTTTTTAGTATACTAGAGCAGAGCGCTCCTTTATAGAGCTCCTCGGGGGGGGGGG